CAACCACAGAAAAGCCCACCACAACAACCGCTATCACAGAAAAACCTACCACAGTACCAACAGAAAAGCCCAGCACTCCTGGTGCCACAACTGTTATAGCTACAAATGCCACCACAGAAAACCCAGTTGTAACCGGTGTGATAAATACAGTGGTTACAACAACATACAAAACAGGACCTGTGATGCATAAAACAACTACAAAAGCCACAGAAAAGCCCAGCACATCTGGTGCCACAACCACTGAAAAGCCCACTCTTGAAACTCCAACTCTAACATCTTCAACTCCTCAGCCATCAACACCAAGCAGAACAACTATATGTTTCTGCAAGTACATGCATCAAATTTTCTCTCCTGGTAAGCAACAAGCGTTATTAGTTGTCGTTCATATAATCACTGTAACATATAACACATATAACTGTATCATCGGCTTAATTCTATTTACGACAGATGTTTTTCATCTTATTCAATGCAGTAGTCTGACTCTAATGACCACAATTGACAAATATTTTTCCAGTAACTTTTTATGATATTGTATATTTGTATCCAATCAAGGATCCAGACATAGATTTTACATTTAATATTGATTTAGAAAACATTCATGTAGTATTCACAAAGTTGCATTTTAAAGATAGCTGTAACCCTGGATTTTGTCTTGTATCACTAAAACTGCCTTGGTTTTATTCTCATATAGGTAGCTTCATGTACAATAAAACTGATGGAGCAGGCTGGTGTTTCACTGCATATTGCAGTGTGACATGCACTGTTGAGAAGCTTGGTAGACCATGCCACTCTACTACTCCTACAACTACCACACCAAGCACTACAACACAAATTGGCTCAACAACCGAACCACCTTCCAGTGACTGTTTATATCTCAAGCCACCAAGAAAGGTATTTGACTTTTGTTGCATAAACGTATACTTGTATAAAAAAAAACATCTTAAAATAAAAACTCTGTTATCATGTACCGACCCCAAATTCAGTCAGAACTGCAAAGTTTTATCTAAACTGGCTTCGTTTCAGGGTCTCTATTCCAACAAAGCCTAAAACAAGGTATTTCATTTCCTTAGACAAAGGGAATGAGCTTTTAATCCATATCCTGTTACTCTCATTGTTCTTTTGAGTTATATCAGATATCAAATATCAGTAATATATGTGAAAATGAACCTGACCAGTTGAGAACTGGTTGCAAATTGTCCAATCCAATGGAATTATATGCCACCAAGATTATAAATTCCTTTAATCAATACCAGCATTTTATTCTGACAGTAATGCATTGCAGAAGCTACACAAAGAAACTCAAACTTCTATAAATGTATTTTGTTGTTCAGGCTCAAAGATAACAGTTGATGCTGAAAACCTGTGTATGCCTACATTTTCAGAAATTTGATCAGGAAACAATAATGGAATCTACAAAGAATCCGACCAATAAGCAGAACAGATAATGGATTTGGTATCAAAAAAATCTGATCAGTTTTCATCCCTATTCAACATGCAATCACTGACTCATTTGTAATACCTCTCTACTATAATAGCTGTTTGTTGACTTTCGCACCTCAGTTTCTTTCCTGGAAAAATTGTAGTGTACAATGACATTTAAATCCCTTATATCATCAAATATCTTCTCCCAGCAGTTGCACAATGTCGGAACAAAGGTCAAAGGCTGTTGACTTATACAATTTCATTAGGGTCCCCATTTATATGGATAATTAGCTTCATCAAAACTATATATATAAACACATTCACACTGTATTTCAATTTATATCTGTATAAATTAATTTTATAATCTATACCTATATCTGTCCTTGCTTCTTGAATTTTATAAATTATCGATGTATATGTTGTGCATATACAGGCTCAAACATAATACTTATTTTACTGGTAGTAGAATGCTAAAAGTACTACTTTGGTCTTTACAGCATGGTGAGTCGTGGAGTTCAGACAAGTGCACCAACGAAACCTGTGACAATCAAAGAGTAATAAAGGAACATGTGCCATGTAAATCAGTCACCATTCCTACGTGTGAAAATGGGTACCCACCAGTTCAGGTTTATGATGAAGACGGCTGTTGTCCCCACTACGAGTGCAGATGTAAGTTTAAATAAAAGCACTTTAAAATTTCATATTCAAGCAACATCTTAAAACTTACAATATATGCAGTTTTTCTTTGATGTAACACTCATTGTAACTTCAATCTAATATTTGCAGGTGTTTGTGCTGGCTGGGGAGATCCTCATTATGTGACATTTGATGGCCAGTACTACAGCTTCCAGAAAAACTGCACATATGTTTTGGTCAAAGAGATCATTCCTCAACACAATTTAACGATTCTTATCGACAACGAAAACTGTGATGCCTCTGGAACTGTTACGTGTGCAAAAGCCCTGATTGTGTATTACAAAAACTATAAAGTCATTCTTACAATACAGAGAACCCCAAAGACCAAGACCATGGTAAGTTGTTCCTCAACAAACTGTCTTAACTTGAATATATTTAAATGATAATGATGATTAAAAATGTTTCACCTAAACAATGATTTAGGTGTACGTCAACGGCGACCTGGTTTCCCCAACCTACTCTAAAGATGGCATAATCATTACAAGTTCTGGAATTGAACTCCGTTTGACAATCCCGGCAATTGAAGCAGTTGTGACATTCAAAGGGCTTTTATTTAGTGTTGAACTGCCATTTTCCCTTTTCCACAACAACACAGAGGGACAGTGTGGTAAGATGATACTTGATTTGCTGTTGGAATAAACATGTTGAATAGCAAATGAAGCTCAATGTTACATTTATAGACTATATAAACAATGTTAGATTTAATAATTAAGTGCAAATGGATGTAGTAAATGTGGCAACACATGGGTTGTAATATCTGTCACGTTAATCTTTACTTTCTCAAGGTACCTGTGACAATAACAGGAAAAACGACTGTAGATTACCAAATGGCCAGATTCATCCTTTATGCTCTGAGATGGGACATGAATGGCATGTACCAGATAAGAAAAAGCCATATTGTGAGAAGCCGCTTCCTACACTACAACCACCACCGAAACCACCATCCTGCAAATCTGTTATTTGTGACATTTTGATGAGCAAGTAAGAATTTACAGTATAAACATGAACACTATTGTCAATTCATTCTGGAGTATCACTCGGATTAACAGCCTACTTTCCTTTTATTTGTGCATTAAGGGTGTTTGAGAAATGCCACAAAGTAATCCCACCACAACACTATTATGAGGCCTGTAAATTTGATGTTTGCCACACAAATTCCAGTGTTGGTTGTTCCAGTATGGAGATGTACGCCATGCTGTGTGCTGAAGCGTCTGTCTGTGTAGCCTGGAGGAATGCTACAAACAAACAGTGCGGTAGGAGGGTTTTGTTTTAGTAAAAAGTAAACAATGTTATTTTCAGATATCCAAATGACCTTTTTTCATCATCTTGGCATTTAAATCCACTTTCTCTTGTTGTAGACTATAAATGTCCAGGAAATAAAGTCTACAAGCCTTGTGGGCCAACTGTTGTACCAACCTGCAATGCAAGGTAAATGCTCAGTTCTATTTAGCAATATCATAAATTAAATAATGTCAGCAGCTTGTAATTTAAGAAGACTAACAGTCCATAGCCATGCTAGCGGCTCTGAAAGGCTACTTGAGTTAAATCAAATGTAAACGTAAGCATGCTCACAATAACAATGCTAAAGTAGGATGGTGATCACGGTAAACATTACTGCTTAACATCAGCAATTTTTACCATAATCACCATTTTAGTTTAGTGTGTTAGCATGCTAATATATGCTCATTAGCACTAAACACAAAGTACATCTAAGGTTTATCAGAATGTAATTAGTTTTGCAGGTATTTTGGTATCTGCAGTATTGGGCAATTTCAAAATTTGACTTGATGATGGCACAAGATGAAAAGTGAAGGGACCACCAACTTTATTACAATTGATCCAGAAGGGAGCACACTTCTGTACCAAATAGTATTCCAATCCATCTGACAATTGTTTGTGACATGTCACTTAAAACCATAAATGTCAACCTCAACAGGGAAAGTCAGAGGAGCACCAAAGTCATTAATTCTCTTGGGGCCATCAACATCTGTAAAAAATCTCATGGACTCAATCAAATAGTTGTTTAGATATTTCAGCCTGGACCAAAGTGGTGGACCAACAGACCAACATTGCTATCTCTAGAGCCATGCAGCTAGCATGGCTTAAAACAATGAATACATTATATGTAATCATATGTGTAATTTCTGAAATGATTATGTGTGTTTTTCACCAACAACTGTCTTCATATTTAGATACAATGCGAAGAATGTACAACCATGCCAGAGAGAAAATGGCAATCAGAACCAAGATTGTAATGGATTCTTGGAGGGATGTTTCTGTCCAGACGGGATGACTTTGTTCAGTCCAACATCTGACATCTGTGTCTCCTCCTGTAAGAGCATTTTCGGTTATGAAGACAAATCATTTTGTTGTGAATTAATGTAGAGGTATATTGATTGTTTTTATTGTTTAAGGTTGCACTGGACCAACTGGCCAACCTAAACAGGTAAATGCTACAATACATGATCATTATTGAGAGTGTGTTCATTGCTGTTACGACATTAACTCTGTTCCACCACTCAAACAGCTTGGTGAGACTTGGCAGAGTGGCTGTCAGCAGTGTGTTTGTGATAAGGACACTCTGAGTGTTCAGTGTAAGCCTCTCACATGTCCCACTCAAGAACCAATAACTTGTACCGAGGAAGGTGAGGTGTTGGTGAACCGCACAGTGGACTGCTGTGAGAAACTGACGTGTGGTGAGTGATTCAAAATACCAAAATGTTTTAATAGGGAAAGGTATGATCTCTTTTACAATTTTACACACATTTACACATCAGTTTACTTATCATGCTGAGTAATACTCAGTTGTGTAACATCTTCTTTTATCTTCTGTTTAATCTTCTGTAAATGTACAAATACTATATGCATTCATATGATTGACAATGATTAAAGACTAATGTTATTATATTAATTAAAACACAGTACACAACAAAGGTATGATGTGGCAATAGATTTGCCTCCAATTGTAATTGTTAACATAATACTTTTCAATTATTGTTGTTAGTTTTGTTATTTTTGTAAATATCTGAAATTACTGGCCTAAAAGACACTTTTAATATATATACTGTATGATTAAACATAGCAGTGTCTGCTGCTGTCTATAAATATAAATAAAATAGATTTTTTTAAATGTATGTAATAAATCCCCTATTTGAATTTTATAATTTAGTAGTATTTAGTAATCTGTTATACTCACCAACTCTGGAAATGTCTCACCTTTTGACCAACAGAATGTGATAGGAGTCGCTGTTCGTTGGTAACAGAGTGCAAACTGGGATTTAAGTTGGAGATCCACATGTCAAATGACAGTTGCTGTCCCTCTTACCGCTGTGGTAAGCATATAGGTTTCAGTTACATTTACTTATAGTATTGCTGTGTGAAACACCTAAAACTAAACTAAGCTTAAGCCTTTAATCTGATTATACTTGTTAATATTGTATCTAGTGCCCAAAGACGTCTGTGTCTTCAATGATACTGAGTACAAGGTAAGGAGTAATATACTTTATATATTTTGAATGTGCTCAATTAAGAGTATACTTGCTTGTTGAAGTGTTACTAAAACTCTGCAATCTTTAATTTTTTTATTTCTTTTAAACTGGTTATGAAACAGTCTCAATGTAATACTGATGCCTCTATATGAATTGAATAAACACACAAGACCATCAGTGAGAAGATTTGCTATTTCTATATTATTTTTAATGTCTGCCACCGGGTCAGACTCTGTCGGATTCCCCTCGAAATCAATTAAACAATTCAGTGGAAACAATACAGCTTTTGTCCACAGGAGCCATCAGAACCAACACAAAATGAAATCTCTTTGTTGCTGTTTTAAGTATACGACAAACAAATATTATAGGAATAATATTAAAGTTAAATATAGTTGAGTGACATTTGTTTTGTTGGTGTTCATATGAAACTGTCTCAGACTTCCCGTTTTATTGTTTACAGCCTGGTATGAATTTCTCCAAAAGTCTATGTGAATCATGCACCTGCACTATAGCTGAGGATCCCGCCAGCAAGTTGAAAGCCCATAAGTGTCATCTGGAGCAATGTAACAAACAGTGTGCAGAGGTACTTTTGCATTTAAATATTAAGAGTATTGTAGTTTTGAATCAATCATTTTAATTTCAGGCCTTTAAAGTTTTACATTGTACAAAAATGTTTAAAAGAAACAACAATGTTTAATCAACGGCCACTTAATCATAAGCTTTACTTTCAGAAATGCTGATCTGGTAACAGTTGCTGATGCATAGACTATTAAGTTATTTATATGCACACGATAGGTTTGTATCTCTTCAGCCACCAACATCTTATACTAATACTTACTAGTATTACTGGTAGTGAGTTAAAAGTTAGGAGCTCAATGCTAACGTGTTGCGCCTCCTTATAAAGTCAGCTGGGAGGCCTTGTGTTTAGTTGCAAACGCTAACTTAAGCTTGTTTACTCTCGTTAGCGGTGTGCTAACCAGTAATCTTAAAGAAAAGGCTCTTTTCTTGTTCTTCTTTATTGCTTATTATATATAAACCTAATTGATCGAAGTTGAAAACCATATTGATTTGTGCGTTTTTTCAGGGCTATGTGTATGAACAGCAACCTGAACAATGTTGTGGATCATGTATAAAGACAAGCTGCTTTTTGGACGTCCCAGGTTTCAAGTCCAAGATAATTATTAAAGTAAGTACAGTGTAATGGTCTTTAACCTTAAATTGTCTTATCAGTCAGAATGTTTTACGTTCACTAATTAACCTCTTCTACACTTCTGACAGCCTTCTCAGTCTTGGTCACCACCAAATGATAACTGTACCAAGTATGATTGTGAAAAGGTGAAGGACGAGTTTATAATCTTTAAAAACCAAACAACATGTCCTGCATTTGATCCAAAGAACTGCATTCCTGTGAGTATAAGCTAGTCCTGAAATGGAACATACATTCTTATTTCTGGCAGATAAATATATTTGTTAATAACTCTCAACTGATTCAATCTTACAAACTGTTTTACATCTTTCAGATAGATTAATGTATATAGTTGTAGAAATATAAGGGACACAAATACAACAAATGTGCTGAAATACATAAATACTTCATTCATACTGTCAGTGTTGTTTTTGTTACAATCCATATATTATATCTCTATTTCAGGGAACGGAACAAAGTGACATTAACGGTTGTTGCAAAACTTGTAAGTACGAGTCTATATAAAAAATAACTCAAATTACACATTATATAATATTTTCTGGAAATGTATTTACACATAAATGTAGACCCTCTCACACAACCACAAGCTTTAAAAGTAACAATTTCATAATTTAAAAGATGTCAACCTGCAGTGTGAATTGTTTGTCTCCCCCTTCAGGCAGTGAGAGTAATTACACACACACTGTCCACACCTGCTTATAATTATTATTATCTACAGCAAGGAGATATGTCCACTGATGGTTATCAATTTTGGATCACTTTCTTTCTTGACTGTAATCCCTCCTCTGATTGCAGAGTTTCTTTTTTATCTAGAGCATCAAGAACTTCTTAGATTTTTCAGCCATACTCCTCATTGTTGTAGTCTACTCCTTCGCTATGGTTGTTCCCTCTTTCAGCTCTAGAAGTGTGTGACCTCGTTTGGCAAGGGCTTGAATGTAATAGCCTTTAATTTATGTGTAAAAGTCCCACACTCACTGCTTTAACTTACAAGTGAGCCCTTGGTACTTGGTAAAATTTTTGAAGTAAAGAGGATTTTACTGTCATCCTATGTTACTTAAAAAAAAATCTTTTAGTCTGTGAAATGTCCAAAAAATAAAATTATGTAGAAACAATCTCTGCACAACTAAATGTGTGACAGGTGCTTTGGAGGAACTTAAAAATAACAAGGAACACTGACCTTGCTTTCTGCTGAAAAAACATTTTATTATATTTACACAACATTTCGGTCTCTACAAATAAAATAAAATCATAATTTCCAGAGCCTGAGATGATGTTTTCAAACTTTATTTTTTTGTGAGACCATATTCCATTATCAGTGATATAAAACACAGAAAAGAAGGAGAGCCACACATTTCAGAAGCTGGAGCCGATGAATGTTATCAATTGATTATCAAAATTGATGATGATTATTGCATTAAAAAAAGCCTGACCCGAATACATTTGTAATTTTATTTTCCTTCAGAAATAATAATGTGTGTCATTTTTAGAGCAACATGAAAAATATGTTTATGTGTCGTTCACAGGTACTCCTCGCCACAGCTGTCAGATGAAGAAGAACACCACCTATCTGTATACAAACAGCTGCACGTCAGTTGTAATGGTGGAAATCACAGCCTGTGAGGGGTCCTGTGGAGCGTCTTCATCAATGTGAGTTTCTGATGCTAAAACTACCTGAAGAGTCGTTTTTAAGATTAATGTTGACATTGAACAGAAGGTTACTGACACTGATCCTGTCTCTATTCACAGGTACTCTGCTGAAAGCAACAGTTTGATGCATTCATGCACATGCTGTCAAGAAATGGCCACCAGTAAGAAGGAGGTGGAGATGTCCTGCCCTGATGGCAGCAAAATGAAGCACTCCTACATTTCAGTTGACAAGTGCGGTTGCCATGTCGCTGAATGTCCTAACAACACCACAGTGTAATGTAAACGTCTGGAAAGTGAAAATCTGACTAATATACCTTTATAAACTTGATCAATTCCTCTCCAAAATCTACTAGACAATCCAGACTCAGTATGTGAAGACCACCAAAGACACACCTTTGTGTAATCAGAAGCCACAAAATAGGGGCAAATAAGTTAAACCTTTCAAACAGCAGAGATGTTGTGGTCTGAAACTCCCTACATCTCTGCAAATTGGCTATTTCTAAGTCTGACTGTCATAACTTCCTTATTTACTGTCAGGTGTGCATAGTGCCCCATAATGACAGCACACATTTGTGTCATGGTATCTCTTGTAGCTTTTGGAGACGTTCCTTTATGCAATCTATATGATATGGTGTTTTAATTCTTAGAGGGTGTTTCTCTTCCTTTTACTGCAAATGACTTGAGAGATAAAAGACACAAGAATGGCTTCAGATGTACAGTATATTGTATTAATGCTATGAGGAAAACGGATTATATTTCTGGTAAAATGTGAAAGATTTAAAACATGAATTAGAATTTTAAATTACTATAAATGACGGTCATAGTTTCTAACAGCAGCGTCAACATAAATTAACTCACACTAACTCATTGAATGTATAAATAAAAGAGTGTAAACAATATCGAAACTATCTTTGTCCAACATCTAATGCTAATCTGAATGTCTTCAGTGTCAATAAAAAT